CTGGGGATGTGGGGGGTTGAGTCAGATTATTTATGTTTTTGCCTTCACTTCACGGAAAATATTTATATCTAGGATTAAAAGAGATATTTTTTTTCTTCACTAAAATGTTTCATAAGAAAAACGGGGAAGGGTGTGTTTGTCCCAACTCAAACACTATCTGATTTATTTCCAAGATCTTTCAGGACCCTCTCCAAAACAGGAATCTAATGTTCGTCCCCTTTTAATTTCTTTTAAAACACTGGACAGAAAATTCTGATTTAATTAGTAAAATTTTCGAAATCAAAATCATTTGTCTTCTGCATCAATCAGTAACATTGTGAACATTGAAGCATAGCGTAGCTAAAGTGGATTGAAAATGAATTTTGAACTAGAATTTATCCAATGTTTTCTCAGACGTCCGTGTCGAATTGTACCCACCTATTTCATCGTCCGTCATCAAATGTTTTGACTCTAACAGATGAAAATGACGTAAGCTGCATGTTTCCAATCTTGCCAGTTAATGTTTCGCCGTCTTAATTGCATCTTGGTGCACAGGGGATGTTCCAGGTGTGAAAAAAAAGATATATAAAAAAAGATATGTTCGTGAAACACTGATGTCCCCGTATAGCGGTGGTTAAACGTTCTCAAATGCAAATCGAATATGTTGGTATCTAAAGTAAGATATTGTCCCGAGAAAAATATACCTGTGATTTATGAAAGCCCTAGCAGGAACCATTGAAAAGATATGGAAAACGTTAGAATTTTTCAAGAGTAAGTCAAACATCAAGGTCAAGGTCAAAATTAATGGTGCTCAAGGAAAGGCCTTCTCACAAGAAATACACAAGTAAAATATGAAAGCCTTAGCACCAACCGTTCAAAAGATACGGCCAAGGTTAAAGTTTACCAAAAGTAGGTAAAAGTCCAAGGTCAAAGGTTCAAAGTTGTTGGTATCGAAAGGAAGGTATTGTCACAAGAATTACACATGCAAAGAATAAAAGCCCTAGCACCAACTGTTCAAAAGTTATGGCCAAGGTTAAAGTTTTTCAAAAGTAGGACAAACTCAAAGGTCAAGGTCAAAATGTCAAAATTATTGATATCCAAAGGACTTGTTACAAGAATTACACATGTGAAGTATGAAAGCCCTAGCACCAACCGTTCAAAAGTTATGGCCAAGGTTAAAGTTTTTCAAAAGTAGGTCAAACTCGTAGATCAAGGTCAAAGGGTCAAAGTTGTTGGTATCCAAAGGAAGGTCTTGTCACAAGGACTATACATGTGAAGTATGAAAGCCCTAGCACCAATTATTCAAAAGTTACGGCCAAGGTTAAAGTTGGGTAAAATTTTGTAATACTGGGTCAAACTCCAAGGTGAAAAGGTCAAATATGATGGTACCGAAAGAAAGGTTTTGTCACAAGGAATGCACCTGTGAAATATGAAAGCCATAGCTTCAATCAATCAAAAGTTATGGGCAATGTTAAAGTTTTTGCGGACAAACAGACAGCTAAACAAACAGACAGACAGACGGACGGACAGGGAAAAAGACTATATACTCCCGAATCTTCGATACGGGGGCATAAAAATATTGCTTTATTGACCAATTATCCAAATGGGATATCATAGCCTGTTTGTAACATAGAGGCTTGCCTTCCAGATTGTTAAATGTACATGTAAAGCAAATTAATAAAATTTTAAATCTACTTTCAAATCACTTAAAAAATTGTTACAATGAAGATTATGACACTTTCAGACAGGAAATACCATGTTTAAATAGAATACCACACCTATGAACATAAACTCTACAAGGGACGAAAGCTGTCATCTTGGAAAATATACCCGCCACCCACTTCAGCACCTGTTTTTGGACTCGAAAGCATTAATTTATCTCGTTGTTATGGTTCTATCCCCTACACTGATGATTTTCCTAAATGTTGATATATCTGTCAGTCGTCAACACACGTTCAATCAACAGACAACAGATACAATTTCTTCACTTGGAGATTCATTTGGAGGTGTTGCTTTTTAATGAGCCGAATACTTGAAGATTTGATCTTTATCTATTCTTCTCACATCATGTACATGATAGTTTCCCTTTTCAGAATAGAAAACTCAGTTTGTATCAAAATATATCAAGGTGAAGTATAGTACATATCGTGGCAAAGTCTCAGGGTATGACAGTTGATAATTATTTAATTCGGCCATATTGTTCAGTCAAGAGAAAGTGCTAAACCTGAAACAATTTTCGTAAGGATGATATCAAAACTTTCTTTTTGATAATTTTCATAAAAAGATAATTATATTGATTAATCATTATAAATTATATCGTTAATATTTAGCCCTCCTGAGTTAAAAGCTCAAGTGAGCTTTTCTGAGCACATTTTTCCGTCGTTCGTCTTTCCGACTGTAAACTTTTCACATTTTTGATTTCTTCTCCAGACCCACTGGGCCAATTTCAACCAATCTTCCCACGATGCATCCTTCGGTGAAAGGGATGCCAATTTGTTCAAGGGAAGGACCACATCCTCTTTCTAGGGGAGATAATTAAGAATTAGTGAAAATTTGAAATTATATTTTTTTTTCTTAAGGACCACTGGGCAAAGAAAGTTGAAACTTATGTGAAACCTTCCTTACATAGTATATATTCAAATATGTTAATTCATGCCAAACAATTATATATGTGCTAGTAATATAGTTTTATACCCATGATTTTTTTTTAACCTCAACGGTTTAAATTGAATGTGTTGAACGCATCTACCACTTATGAAGGCAATGTGAAATTACGTCGATCTTTAATTTTATGACTGAATAATGAAATTAAGATCATTTGATGAACCTGCTTACGGGATTAAATACGCCTTTTTTCAAATAGTGATAAATAATGGAAAAGATTCACAAATGTAAATATTTCCAGTTAAAGTCAGTTCAACATTTTTATTTCATTAATTTTATCTTTTTCATCTTTCATCATCTGGCTTAAATGCCAGTTAATGTCAAATGTTATTTAAAAAATTACGTCTTAAGCGCTATATTAAAACTGCATTCTAAAATGAATCTTTATGTGTAGCAATTCTTAATTTTTAGCTCATCTGAGCTGAAAGCTCAAGTGAGCTTTTCTGATCACCTGTTGTCCGTTGTCCATCCGTCCGTCTGCCCGTCCGTCCGTTTGTAAACTTTTCACATTTTCAACTTTTTCTCAAGAACCACTGGGCTAATTTTAACCAAATTTGGTACAAAGTATTCTTTGGTTAAGGACAGTTTAAATTGTTAAAATAAAGGGCCAAGTCCCCTTACAAGGGGAGATGATCAAGAAAAGACAAAAAAAAGTGGAGTCATTAAAAATCTTCTTCTCAAGAATCACTGGGCCAGAAAAGCTGAAACGTATGTGTAAGCATCCTGGGATAGTGTAGGTTCTGAATTGTTAAAATCATGACCCCAACGGGTAGGGCGGAGCCATAATAGGGAATCAAAGTTTTACATTGAAATAAAAATCTTTAAAAATCTTCTACTCAAGAACCACTGGGCCAGAAAAGCTGAAACTTATGTGGAAGCATCCTCTAGCAGTGTAGATTATAAATTGTCCAAATCATGACCCCCGGGCGTAGGGCGGGGTCACAATAGGGAATCCAAGTTTTACATTGAAATATATAAGACAAATCTTTAAAAATCTTCTTCTGAAGAACCACTGGGCCAGAAAAGCTGAAACTTATGTGAAAGCATCCTGGGTTTTGCAGATTCTAAATTGTTCAAATCATGACCCCCGGGGTAGAGTGGGGCCACAATAGGGAATCCAAGTTTTACATTGAAATATATAGGAAGAAATCTCTAAAAATCTTCTTCTCAAGAACCACTGGACCAGAAAAGTTGAAACTTATGTGGAAGCATCCTGAGGTAGTGTAGATTCTAAACTGTTCAAATCATGATCCCCGGGGGTAGGGCGGGGTCAGAATAGGTATCAATAAGGAGGAAATCTGGTAAATAAAGAACAGAGTGACCAAAGTTATTCAGGTGAGCGATGTGGCCCATGGGCCTCTTTTTTTTTTTTTTTTTTTTTAAAATTGTTTACGATTAAAGAATATCTTATGTAACGATTTAACGAATTTGAATACACATAAAAATAATCATATTATTCTTCCGTAGTTTGAAGTGGTTATAAATCGATCAAAGGAGGACATACAGCGTGTTTTTGGATTAAAACGAAAGTAGCAATATTGAGTAACCCTTTAGACACTTAAATAAGGTATGGCACTTTTTTTATTTTAAGAGGAAAAAAAATACTAAAATGTTATTGTTCGATGTTTCTTTTCTTGAATGGAAGACCGTCCAGTATATTTAATAGTCACTGAATGAAAAAGGAAGCATTTCTGTTCCTTTTTTCCTTGAATGTCAAGTTAACCAGCAAGAAGAGTGGTAAATCTAGAAATGGGTCAAGCATCATATCGCATGACATATTGCCATTTTTTGCCTTCAGAAAGACAGTTAGAACAGTAATATTGTAAGACATTTATTTCATATTACAATAAAATAATTTAAATGACACAGCACAAATATCAAACATAACCGTGTATATTACCACTCCGTAATAGGACAAGAAAGATAACCATTGTATATATCGTTTCAAAATGGCAGTATCAGCAAGAATTTAAAATGTCAGCAATTATACATGTGTATCAAGCAAAGATTTACCTGATTTACCTGATTTTTAACCCGTTCGAATATAAATGAACAATTATCAGCAATTAATCACTCCGGTGGCCTACTTTTTTTTTTTTTTTTTTTTTGCCGTCTATTGTTGTTGTACTTGATCTTTCAAGTATATGCGCTTGTTATATAAACTGAACTTCCTAAAAAAAAAAAATAATGAACTATCTATACTCCTAAAAAGTATTGTATAAATCTTTTAGATGCAATTAAATTTACAGGTAGTAAATGTTATCTTTGTACTGAAAATTTGCACCCATTTTGTATTATAAGCCCACTAACCACTAATGAAGTTATTTTTTTAGATAAGGACTCATGACTCAAAATTGCAAAGAAAACTAGGGGTCACTGTGCATCTCACTGAGCAACGGTAATTTGACCCTTTTGCACTTAAATTGTAACTCATCACTTTAACCATTAAGTAAACACATTTTCCAGATGTAATAATGGTAATAAATATAATCTTATTTTACGTAAAAACAGTTTGAATGATATTTATCATTGAACAAATCATGCAAATTAATGCGCATAAATTATTGTGACCTTTTTGCACTAAAAAGTATTGTACATGTATTTCGGGTATTAAAAATCTAAACAGGCAATAAAATATTGTCTTGTATCAAACTTTTCATGACTTAGTGCCCGATTTGTTGGAAGTATTGTGTAGTTTAAAATTATGAAAGAAAAAGGTGGGGCCAATGATGCAAATTGTACATTTTGAAATATTGGTCAAAGTATGCGATTTTCAGGCAAAAAAGAATAAATTTTACCTTGACTTCTTCAATATATCTTCATTTCTTGGTAAATTTGGTTGAGTGAATGTGGAACATTTGTTCTCTAAAAATTAATTGAAACCTATATGTACATGTAATATTCCTTTCATATAATAACGGAAAAAATTCTCTGAGTAAAAATATGTAGACTAAAATTCCAGTGTATTAAATTTCAGAAATGTATATATTTGAAGAATTTTCTTTTAAATATCCTTCCACCACAAGAAATAGTTTCCCATAAATCTTGTTTCTTTATGATTTTGTGAACAGTTTTAAATTTAATGCTGCATAATTTGCATTGCTTATTTCAAATATGTTATAAAAATTAAAATGTAATAAATAGTTTTGAAGTTAGAGGTTATGACTCGACATTTCCTAAGAGCTGATGAGTTACATATTTTAAGTTGTACATATTGTGTTTTTCTAGTTCATCTTAAACATAGGGTACCTGCAACAATCAGAATATTGAGAAAGAGAAAATCCCTGTTGTCTTTACTTTAGGGATGTTCATATAAATGTTTTCAATTATATTGGTCTAATATAATGTTAAGAATACTTTCATCTAAGTTTAGTAGTATCATCTACTATAAAATTCCATTTTTATTCCATTTTACATAAAAAAAATCAGCTTACTCTAAATGCATAAAACAACCGTGGAATTAGAACTCTTCAGGGTGCAGAATAAAGAACTTCCTTAATGTTTATTTTTTCTGCAAGGGAAGTATTCTATTCTATTTGAAGTCCTGAAACACTTCTCGGAGAGCACGTGCTTGTCCTATGCTGTATAGAGAAAGTATTTTAGAAAAATACCTTTTTATTTAAATTCTAATGTATCCGATTCCATTGTAGAATGTTATCATTGATAAAATTTAGAACAAATGATGAATCAAATTTTGATGCTCATTTAAAGACAGAACAGAACAACCAACATTTACTACTTGATTTTCTTATTAAATCCCTTTAAAATATGAATTTGACATTTAGAGAGGAATAAGGATCAAAATGAGTCAGTCATTTTAGAACTACATCTACGATTTTGTCAATAAATCAAATTTAATCATTACTTTATATTTTTCAGATACACTGTACCAGAAATGGACATTAAAGACGCTTGTGCAATTTGTTTGGAAAAGTTGAGAAGGCCCCATTACTGCTTGCCATGTAGACATGTGTTTTGCTGTCAGTGTATTTCTTTATGGAAAGAAAAAATATGTCCGCTCTGTAGAGTACATATAAAGTCCCATAAGCCCATATCATCATTCACTGTTGGTGAGCATCTGATAAACTATTAGCACCTCATATGATGTTTTTGTCTCTCAGTTGGTTTGATACTCAAGAAATTTTCTAAACAAAGACAGACTACTGACAAATAAGCTAATATTACAAGGGTATCAACAATCTCGTTTAAGGTCAACATATCGAAATTCAATGGTCGTAACAATGACCTTATATGCAAATATAACCTGTTGTTAGGTCGAATGTTGCCTGGCGTTTTTTATTTAGGTTGTTAGGTCACTGTTTTTTTATTTAGATTGTTAGGTCATTGTTTTCGTACTGATTTGTCTACGGATTACTCCATCCACCTCTGATGTTTCCTGGGGTCTGTGTTGACCTTGCTCTGAATTTTTAATACATGTAATAATTATCCAGGATTACACAAAAAGAGTACAGCTAGTTTTCATGGTCATGCGTTTAAACATACATGTACATGTATTTACAATTATATCAGCATATTAAAAATTAGTATCTAAATATAAATATAAACACACTATATAAGATAATGTAATGTCTAATTGGATTTTGATCTTGATTACAGTTCATCCTTAGATGTCATTTCTTTTCCGTTCTTTACAGGTATCTCAGCATTGAAATCACTAAGCTACGCTGAGAGGAACATATTGCTTTTCATAGTTTTGGTTATTACGTTCATTCTAGTCGACATTCCGAGTTCTACTGGAATACTACGTTCATTGATATATCCTCTCCTTCTGGACTCTATGTGCATATTGTGGGAAACACTACACATATTACTGACAATATTCACAATGTTAGTAAAATGCACATCTAGATGGATTGCTGAAATAGTCATTTTTGAGATTCGAGATATCCTTCCTATAATTTATGATCTGACAATGTCCATTGGGAAGCACCTTTTAGATATACCAGTTTGTTTCTATAAAGGATTAAGGATTTATTTCTATGAAAACACCTGGTCCGCCTTGTTTTTGAAAGCAGTTCATATTGGAGTTTTGACATTTTATATGAATTCCGAGGCCCGTTTGGAAATGCGCAGACTATTTCAACGAATCCAACTGACAGACAGAATTCGAAATGTGCTACGCAATATTTTATTTGATTTAAAGCGCTTAGTTTAGTGAAAATACCTAGTCGGCAATTTATCTCGTCATACTTAAAATTACCGTCTTCCTTGGAAGTGAGTTGAAGTATTTCACAGTCTGCGGGCTATGCACTTCCTCTCTTTTGTAATTTGTAGAAATTGCATGATGAGAAAATTTTCAATTATTTCATAGGTTGAAATGCTGTTCAAGGCCATGGAGATAATTTTCTGATGGTCTAATTTTCGTACGACTTAACAATTTTTCAAGATTTTCAATCGTAAAAAAATATGACAAAACGAACAGTGGAAATTTGCAGCAATACGTTCTATTTCCATTAGTGAACTCTTCAAAATTAGAGGCGCGTTTGGTCGTCTGACAGGGACAGCATGGCGTTGCGGATAATACAAAACATGCCAATCTCAATCCAATTTTTAATGTAAAATGTATTTGTCATTCCAATTAAAGAATAGAACTAAAAGACATATGTAAGAGAGCGAGAACCCTAAATTTATCATCCATTAATAAAAAATACGACATTTCGAAGGCATGTGTATATTGTATTTAGATGTACCATACGATAAATAGATACATCAACAATAGATATAAATTGATATCGTTGTCATTCCTACTCTTGATGTATATAAAGTCCACAACAATAAAATATTTCATTTGCATTTTCTTAGGATTTGTTCATCGACATTCAACATATTGTTTACATGTTTACGTTACGTTTGTCCCTGAAATCCCGCGAGATTTGTACATTTTCCGACTTTTTCACAAAAGAGCGCACTAAGAAGGATAACTCTTCCATAGTGGAAATAGAACGTATTAGTTTGAAATAATATGCTAGCTTATATATATATATATATATATAGAGAGAGAGAGAGAGAGAGAGAGAGAGAGAGAGAGAGAGAGAGAGGAGAGAGAGCAATTACCAAAAAGCGTTTCTATATTTTCATTGTTAACAGATATTGATCTTTATTGCATGCAAGCTTTACAGCTTGTATGTATCCTTTTTCCCTTTGTTTTTCTAATCTTGGCAGCACTTGGGAACACCTTGGCTGATTCGTACCTCATCTACACAATTATCACAAAGGTGACGGAATCAGTCGAGGTTTGCCGAATGATCTCAGCAGCAGAGTTAAAGTTTACAGAGATAGTCGAGCATCTGTTAACGTTTCACTTGTTTTATTTGGTAGGGCTTATGTCAGAAAAAAAAAACTAAAAAAAAAAAAAGAAAAGAAAAAAAAAACTAATGAAGAAATACAAAGCCAAGAAATTTTCAAGAATTATACGGCCTGATAGGTTTAAGTCAGCTTTTTAAGTTTGTTGCTAAAGACGATAATCTTTTTAAAAAGCTCTTTTGTATCTCCTCTGTAGTTAATGCATTTCGTATTTCTGAACATGTATTTCATTTTGAGTGTCAGTAATAACAATGCTTGACAGTTTATTACTATGTCCATGGTTAGTGAAATGAAATGATCGTATTTCTCTTGAGTTTTATTGATGTTTCACCATTTCATAAGTTTAGCAGATGATAAAATTTGTCAAAGTATATGGAATACGTCAGTCTGTAATTTCAAAAGGTAATTCAGCATTAAATATAAATTACTTAATTACTGTTCCACAATGTGTTATTCTAATTTCCTTTTCGTCACGTGACAGAGATGGAAACAAATGCACAAAATGCGTGTATTGAAATTGAAATAGATAATATATAATTCTGCATAACACCACATCCTTCATTTCATTTTGCAATCAATCATTTCCTATAGTTATTATGAAGTGTTTGATACATAAAAGATAATAATAATTATCATACTCAAAAATTTAGAATAGCTTCGTCAAACAAGATTTCGTATTATCTTTGTGAAAATATGTTTAACTGCTAAATATCTACAGGTAAAAGAAAATTTTATGCATTTGTCATAGATATCCCGAACCTGGGCATGAATGCCCCATCTATGAGTCAATAATTGTTTCTACATAGAGAGTCCAGTGTTTGCTGATATCTTACAAATATATTTTCCTGATAGATATCCAATGGTGAAAACAGTCACATATACTCGGTTGACTTCCAGGAGTGAGGGGAAAACATTTTTAAAGGAATATATTAACTACCCCCTCCCCCCATCCCTCACACACAAACACACACCCTTCATCCTGAACTACTGAACAAAAGTACATATTAAAAAAGATTTTGAACTGAAGGGTTGCGCTCAATGACATTAGACAAACAGTTACCCAGGGGTGAAGACGGAGAGTTTTTCAAGATGTAATTCTATACATTATCAAATTCATTCAAGTATGATTTTGATACTCGCATATACGAACATAAATGTACCTTAAGGTCAGACGACAAGTTCCTCAACAGTAGATAATTTTCCCAAGAATTTGACATTAAAGTATTTCTTCTTTTTATGTTTCCTCACAAAAAATTGAGGTACCTTACCAGGCATTTGTGCAAGATACCAGAGGATATCTATATAACCTATTGGAAACCACTTTTGGTGTCTATTTACTTTGACAATTTGAAAACACAATTCACAAGTTAATGAAAATTATGATTAATTTGTTACATAATACGAAGAGACATTTACAGATATTAGAGCAACGTGTCATCAGACCTTAAGGGGACACTCCATATAACATGAAGTGCCATATTCTTTCTTTTAATTTGAGATTATATCTGTTTGAAATTTGTCGTTTATAATTAATATTGTAGTACAACTAAAGGGTAGTAAAAATTTTGGAATACAACGTTAATTATTTTTTGCCGGAGAACCCTCCAATATGATCATGATCACTTTAGCACTCCCGGTTAATATTTTTAAAAAAATGTCAATACATGAATCAAATGAAAAATCTGAATATAAAGTTGAGGAATTTGAATTGTTTGAAGTTCTGTATAGGAAATAGCAAAAATAAATCCGGAAATCCTTTTTTCATCATGCATTGTTTCCCGAGTTTTCCAAAGGGAAGTATATTCTTCTGATGCTATTAAATGTGGTTTCAACGGAAACAATTCTCACACAATAGCATACATGTTCGCTAGTTAATTTACTGTTTTAAAAGCGATTAATTGTTGATCGATGTCTTTAGTCGATGGATAAAAGAAAGATTAAAGGCTTCATTAGATGGACATTGTTGCTAATTATTATTAAGTTAATTTCTTGCGAAAGTCAATGCTTAAAAGACGAACCGAGGTGCGATTGCTCCATCTACAGGATAGACTGTATCAATAAATCTTTAGACAGAATTCCTTCAGCATTTCCATCCACAACTAAACAAATGTAAGTTTACTTAAGTTTAAAAAAAAACTATATATACATTTCATTGTCATGTAATTATTCCTTGTCAATGGAAAGTTTTGGATACCTCATAAAGACGGAAAATTATCTCAGTTTTATGGTCGAGACCTTTTAGTGTTTGAGAGTTTTAATCCCTGCATAAACATTATACTTCATATGTATAATTACATATAGATATCTAAATGATAACCAGATAGCCGTTGTACGAAAGGGCGTGTTTGTCGGACTCCCCCACCTCACATCCGTGTAAGTGTGTGACTAAAAACATATATATTCCAGTAGAATAAAACAAATTGTATATTTGAAAAAGAAATAATCAGAATATCTCGTAACTCCATCTCATATTTAAAAACAAATGCATTCATTGTAGCAATCTTTATAACAACCATATATCACACATTGAATCGAAGGCCTTTTATAATCTTTCCACATTAGAGGATATGTAAGTATCACATTTTTTTTCTTTTCTTTGTTCGTACGTTTGTTTGTTCGTTCGTTTTTTAATCAGTTTTACGAAACTCATCTCATGTTCCTGAAGTAATGCATTTATAAGAGGTTTTGCCTTTCAGTGTTTTGAATAACAACAACTTGCAACAAGTTCTTCGATGGACCTTTATTGAATTAAAGCTTTTATTTGACATGTAAGTATTCTTGAGGAAACCAATAAATTTAAAACCAATGAAGATGAGTAGTGAAAATTTATTGTCTTGCTTTGTGTGTTAAAAAATATTCACACAAACATACAAATACACACACACACACACACACACACACACAGAGAGAGAGAGAGAGAGAGAGAGTTGTAATTGTTCCTGTATTTGCATGATATTTTTCTTTTTTTTTATGCAGATACCTACAAAGCAACAACATATCAGTAATTCATAGGGAAGCATTTGTAGCACTGCCTAAACTCCGGTCAATGTAAGATTTTCCCCAACGCAGAAATTTTGCTAATTTTTGTCCATGATTATATTGCTGTCATGTTAACAATATCGCATGTTCCTGAGGCGAATTTTCTAAATAAATGTACATTCACTTTATTTCAGATACCTTACAGGAAACGCTATTCATTGTACCTGTGCTATAGAGTGGTTCGCTCAGTACCTCAAAGCACACCCCATCATATCCCAGAGATCCGCCACACAATGTGCATATCCTCCTACCTTGCAGGGAAAGGAGGTTACTCTTGTGAACTTCACAAGTCTTGTCTGTGGTATTACTGCTATCTTACCCTCAGAAATTAAAATTTACATCAATATAATAAAACGCTTACCCACCGTCTCGGCGTGTGATAGCTCATTCCTCAAACCCTTGACAGGAATGATTCCCCTCGGTTAAACCCTTCCTGTAGCGTATTTGATAAAAGAGCTATCCCACTCACAGCCAGTGAGTGGATATAAGTGTAAAACAGTACATTTGAAAAAACTCCCAGAAATACAGAAAAAATTGCTTTGTTTCTTGAAAATTCTGGTGTAATTTTCGAGTCTTTATTTTGCATTCTTTAGATAAAATTATCTTTTTTTATTTACAATGAGAAGAAACACCATGAGACTTAACTTCAAACATATGTACATTTAGAAGTGAATGAAGTATTTTACGTCAAATTTCTAATAGGACAAACCTTGCCAAGTCTGCCCGCAATCTTGCAAAATGATTAAGCCAAAGATAATGCCTGTACGAGGATTGTCTATAAAGTGTGAAGACAATTGCTATAAATTTCTTAATATTGACCACGTTGCCAAATATGTACGATAATATTTTTGATACAGACCATGATTTAATAAATTTAAATTAATTCAAACATTACCCACTATTTTACGAACGTTATAAGTTTAAATACTTTGTTTATGCAAGCCGCAATCCCAGTTTGGCGTAAAGCTAGTTTCATGATAACGATAAATATCACAAATGCTTTGATGTTGCCCTTATTTCAAATTTTCCCTTTTTTTTTTTTTTTTTTTTTTTTTTTTTTTTTTTTTCTGTTCAGTGTGTGATCAGATAACTTAAGTTTAAAACTGATATTCTTTTGGCGTTTAATAATCTATAATCTAAGCTAAGATGAGTCTCATTAATGTTTTTATAGATTCACAATCCAGTATTTCAATTGGGAGGATGAAAGAGTCCACTATACCAGCCTCTTATTATTGTAAGTAAATTATTATAAAGATTCCAAGTGATAAACGGGATGTAATATGGTGTTTTTAACCATAATGCTCCGTTTTGTTAAAAATTACATTTTCAAAACAAATTATCTTTCTTTTCACGATTTTTTTGAATTTTTTTTTTCTTAATACGAAAATGTTGGTAAAGAAAATTTTCAAATAATATTTATTTTCGGAATGTCTACGTCACATCATCTGTCGATTTAATCTAACTTGAAGGCAGTACAGTCTTCATGCTTACACGTTTTGATTCTATTTATCAGCAAGAGCTGTCGAGATTGCTAAACTGCATTTCAATTAACTTAATGTCAATTTTTCTTAATTAGATCTGAGAGATTGAACTTTGCAATTCTCAGGAAAAACCATTATTTTGGAAAAAAAAAGGGGGAAGATACTTTTCTTTTTTTTCTATCAAAACGCAAATTACGGCCCATAAATCATTTTTCCAAATCATTTTTAAGGGAATATCTTTAATCTTGGCATAGGCAGAACATTGAAAAAAATTAAGTGCTACGGAATTACAACTTAAAGAATTTGTTCTTGTGAACATAAGTAGTACATATTAGATTATATTAATACTACGTGTATAAACTTTTCGACGAAAAGTTATTTTTCTTTGCAATGCTAAGATCTTGCGGATTATAAATGAAATTCTTTTGAAATCAGCGCAAATCATTTACCTGTTTTCTGTCTCTTTTAGTAGCCACAGGATTAGTTCTAGGATTGCTGATATCAACTGTTTCCTATCATCTCCTACGAAAAAGGTACAACATGTAATCTTTTTGATATTGACTTCCTATATAAAACCGTCCTTTGAATTTGACTAACATCCTTGATACATATGCAATGGTTATCTGATGATGACAAGAAGACACGTGTATTTATTAGAAATTGAGACAGATTCTCCATAGTTGATACATTTTTGGGTGGACAGGTCCGAAGCGAGGAATTGAGCTCTCTTGTTTTCTTGACGGAAAAGGTGGAAGATTTTCCATCTCGCAGATTTGCAAATAAAGATTTAGTAATTAATGTATCTCCTCCTGGGCTTAAAAATCTTAATTAAATTAGATACAAATACAGTCGATATAGACAGCTGTTCTATGGACTTTGATATCGCAGATTTTTATGTCCTCGTAATGGAAGATATGGGGACGAATGATTTTTGGTCTGTCCGTCTGTCTGTTGGTCTGTTTGTCTGCCAAAACTGTCACCTTGCCCATAACTTCTGAATGGTTGGTGCTAGGGCTTTCACAATTCACATGTGTGTTTTATGACAAGACACTTTAAAGCTATTCACGAAAACGAACACGTTTTGGAGGATTTATTCTAGCATCGGTTTTCAATAACTGCCAGTTTTGCTTTTCGTTTGGTTTGAAGTAACGTATAAATATTAACTCGGCGCAGAATTCATTTCAAAAAGTGATTGAGAAAATTTGACATTTTACATTCACAAGGAATTTTTTATTCAATTATTCTAAGTAGAAAAAAGAGGTTTAGTCGTTACGAGTTGTGCTTTTTATGTCTTGAATCGGATTTAGTTTTAGATTGTTCTGTATTTAAGATATAGAACACTTGCCTTATACAACACAGGGCTAAACAGTACAGAAGATAGCTCCGTCCACCATAGCCCTGTACTGTATAACTGTGGCCTTCAACTCGACATTTAGATATATCGACGACGTGTTGTCAATTAACAACATAACTTCCAATCATATGTCGATTCAATATATCCAAGTGAAATTAAAATTAAAGATACCACACAGATTGCCACATCTATTCCATATTTGGATGTTTTTCCGACTATAGACGATAAAGGCCAACTAACAACTTAATTGTATGACAAAAGATGACTTCAGCTCTTGCATCGTCAAGTTCCCTTATTTAGTAAAATACCGCTATTACCTGCATATGGTGTTTACATCTTACAACTTATTCGATAGTTAAGAGCATGCTCCGAGTCGATCACTTTTTGAACCGAGGGTGGCTACGAACAGACAAGTTGACAACCTTTTTTTAAAGTCAGAATTTCATAAATTCTATGGTGTTATAGTGCCCTTCTTAGCAAATATAGCCTATCACTTGGTCGTATTTTGATTGACCTGTTTCTTACCAATTGTTAGGGCTTTGTTTTTACACTGAATTTGACTAAGCAATGTTTGATCACAGCTGGTGTGGCCGGTCAACAGAGGATGCTTATTCCTCCTAGGCACCTGTTATTTGTCCTCCGCTTTCTCGAAAGCGAGGGGACATTAAATCTCATTCATCTGTGAGTCTGTCTGTCACAAAAAATTAAAACTTGGTCAACATTTTTGAATGAGGAGAGCTAGGGCTTTAATATTTCACATGTTTATTACCTGTGATACGATCATTCCAAATATACTATGATTTTTGACCCAATGATCTTGACCTTGAAGTTTGACCTTATTTAAAAAAAAATCATTGATCATAACTTTTGAATTAAAAAAAAAATAGGGCATTCATATTTGAAATGTGCATAATTGACATCTGAAAAGACGTTTTCAAACATTTGACCCCTGATCTTGACGTTGAAGTTTGACCCTGGTTTTCAACATTGGTGATAACTCTATGTTACGACTTACGGCTGTCTATTTTTAACGGTGCAACATTGTGGGGCTCCTTAATCTGAATGTTGAACGAAAGACAACAGGATATAAATTGTTTTTTATTATTTTATTAGATTTTATTCAAATAAATATACACAAAACTCTTCTTTGGCTCTGCAGTCTGCACCTGAAATAAAAATAAACCAACCACCCTTTCCACCGAATGTTAATTCTTAAATCACCCTTAAACAAAACCCTTTAGTAAACATGAATAGACCTAATACCTTTAGGTCTGAGTTAATAGATTGAAATAGTGATTTCTTCATCAGCAAGTATAAGTATAAAATATCAGAGGGTATAGCAAACAACTATTTGTATAGGGACAAAAAGTGGAACGACTTTACTTTACCGGTCCCCAGAAAAACGTGCTAAAATATAGTGTCGCCGTAGGCAACTTCAATATATATGAGAACGCGTGAGCGATCGAAAAAAATTAAAAATATGAGGTTTTAAGCCTTTTGGCCCCAAAATCGAATTCTACGGTTAAAAGTTTAGTTTAAAACTTCGTTTTTAAACGAAGTTTTTAACCTCGTTCTGTGAAAAAAGGTAATAAATATTGTTTATTCTGTGAAAAGGAGACAAAAAATAATTGTGAATGAAGCGCGTGCGGCGCATGCTTAGTGCCGTTTCTTTCGTACTTTGCCATTTTTTCATGTAAACAAACCAACGAGATGTCGTTGAAGCTGAATTAAGAATTTGCAAAAAACACCTATGCAACTGAATTTCTTAATTAATCTAAAAGAACAAGACACTAACCCTAATCTCTCGGATGGTATGCGAGGACTAACCCAAATCTCCCAGGCGGATGCTTGACCATGCTAGACTAACCCATGTGTGAGGACTTACCCTAATTTCTCGAATGGACGCGAGACTAACCTTAATCAGTCGAAAACTTATGCAAGGACTAACCCTAATCTTTCAGGTGGGTGCAAGACTAACCCTAACCAGTCGAAAAATGTGCAAAACCAACCCTAATCAGTTGAGTGACGTAAATCTTACGTCATAGTGCAATGAGCGCGCGGATCCTGGGACAGGTAAAGTAAAGTCTACCCCAAAAGTTATGCTAATTTCTCAATAAAATTGAATACAATGCACCATGCAATTGTGAATAATAATGTCAGGAGTTATGATATCAATTTCAGGTCACTTATTGTGTCTGAGTAAATAAATGAACGGTGAGTTCAGATCACTACTTGTGTCTGAGAGAAACTTGTAAAATGCAGAAACAATAATAAAGCAATCAGAAGTTACTAGCAAATTTAGTGTTAGATTAGGTTAATGATAATTACCCATCTTAACGCTTCAGTGCCATGCTCTGCGAGCGTCATTGTTCAGTTGGCTTCAGGCAGAACCTTTCTGTAAGTGAGACTGCAGACGTCTGTCTGTCAGAGCCCGCGGAGTTATTTATACCAGTTAGACCCTCTATGACGTCCAATGCATGACGATTTAGTGCCATAACTTCAAATCACTGGAACATTTCGGGTGCAGCTAGTTTACTGTACTCATCCGAGGTGTTCCTAACGTACTTTACAGCTTTTACCGCTTAATATGAAAACTGAAGTGTGATTGTAAGGTTTTACCCAGATTTTCAGAGACTGGTCTAATTGTTTATCCGAATTACCAGAAGTAAGCATATTCAGCTGTATAATAATGAAGTTATTGAACCATTAATGGTGTATTAAACCATTAATGGTGTATTTACATTGTGTGGTGAATTTCCCTTGTCATGTGGAGGAAATTCGGGAGGTGTACACTATACGACATTTTCTTATTAAGATCCTGGCTTTAATTAATAATAACAATTACCCAAATGAAAATAAAACATCAGTATATATTATTCATCCAATCATTCATCCACTCATTAATTTATTGACTCATATCATAAGGAATAAAGTGTCATTGTTTACTTGTTCATAAACATAGTGGAGAATGCCGAATTCGTAGCATTTAGAATGAGAGAAAATGGGCGTTCATTTTTGAAAAGTGCATTACCTGTGACAAGACGTTTTCAAACATGCTATGATATTTGACCCAGTGACTTTGACCTTCAAGTTTGACCTAATATTCAAAATCTTTATCGCTGCGGATAACTTTGAAGAAGAGAAGATAGGGCATTCATGATTGACATGTGCATTACCTGTGACGTTTCCGATGTACTATGATCTTTAACTCCGTGACCTTGATCTTGAAGTTTGACCTAATTTTCTAAAATTTTAATATTACTGATGACTTTTGAATGAGAGAAGATAAGGAATTTATATTTGACATATGCATTACAATACTAGTATGCTATAATTGCTTCCCAACCACTAAAACACTGAAATCGGGGGACCTCACTTCTTTGAGTTTGCTTGTTTCAACTATATGTCAAGTAAAAATTAAAATATAAATGAAAAATACTGTCTAATAGAATTGAAATACACAATGCAATCCATAGTCCCTGTCCACTGACGTCAGACACAAAAACAGCCCAGGAAATTTACTTGTATATCACGCGCATGACCTTTCACTTAGCAAAATTTGAATTTATTTGTAAATATCGAAAAATTAAAACATTTAACTTTCAAAGAGTTATCAAAGAAAAACAGTTCGAAATGTAAATACGCTGTACAGTTGAACTTCGGTATTTTGAACACTGATATCTCGAATACTATGGGAATGTCGAACAGATTTGGAAGTACCAAACCCGTATTCTTTAAGTATTTTACCCTGGATATCTTGAATTCTCGGATGACTCCATTTTCTTGGTCCCATTGGGTTTGAGATAACGAGGTTTGACTGTATTTCATCATTTAACCTGCAAGTTGTGTCTTCTGACTGTGGTATTACTCCTCACGATGACGTAAACTTAGATTTTTGTTCAAATTAATTGTTAGACAAATCACATTAGTTTATTATGTTGTGTGAAAAACATTCATTTTCTAATTTTGATTATTACTTTTACCAATAGGAAGAAAATAACACTACTTAACTTTTTTCTGTTATAGTTCGAAGTCAACGGGATTCGGTTTTCTCCCTATCTTTTTAAATATATGTGTTACCTAATAGTTTCTGAAAATCTATGTATACCTTAATTTAAACATGAATGTAAATTTCATTCATTTGTCCTGTAGAAAACATCTTAGATGCAGGAGCTGTATTAAAAGACCCATTTCCACACCTAACGAAGAGATGAACTCACCTGGGATATTTACAACCGGATGTCAGATGTCGTCTGTATCATCATTAAGAGATCTAGTATATTCTTCAATGGACAACGTTACATATTATAGCAACAATCATGGCTTCTCTGCAGATCTGCAGGACGACTCAACCTGTATTGCCAACGAATACGATATGTGCAGCGGTGCTTCGGTATCTAGCCACAGACACAGTCAAATTCCACGAAGGATGAATAGTGATTACGAAGATATCGCTAATGTCTGTCGAGGTATACTATGTCACTTTTTTTTTTTTTTTTTTTTTCTTTTTTTTTTTTTTTTTTTTTTGCTTTGAAAACTTGATTCTTATTTTCATTCTAAATAAATTGCATGAGAGAGAGAGAGAATCATATGTCAATTTGTTTGTCTTTTTACATTGTAGAGAGCAAATCCACGCAGACACAGATTTATAGACGAACAACTGTATAGCATGCTTAACTGAATAAAAATGTGACATGTTCATCAAAAAATGTTTTTTATCATTCAGTGATGTTTCCAATGAATATAATTAAACAATTCAAGATGCCTTTGAATGAAAATGAATTGGATGAATTAAAAAAAAAAAAAAAAAAACCTAAACGTTGTTTTCTCGAAAAAACAGCTGTCTCTCCTGTCCACAACTGCAATCAAATATCGCTAATTAAAAATTCATGAACATCTCTGAATATATACATTTTAAATACAGTGTCATACATAAGAAATATGTTACCCAAATACACCTTAAAAAGTGTGTTTTTGTATTCGTAAGATTTACCATCTAACGCTGTATGTTGCTGTTCACCATCTTAAGCGTGGGAAAGGCGAAAGCTACTTTGCTTTGATGTGGTGACTATGTAACGTAGTATTTAAACGTCTTGGCATGGAAAGCGTTATCACGTCATGAACAGAAAAAAAAATTTATCGTCTTTTGCAAAAAGCTCTTTTTAGTCAAGAGGACCAACTTATTCATTTTCTAAACTCTGGATGAATTCCAGTTAATGCTGCAATCACTAACGTCGGTAGTTAGATCTAAACAGACAAACAAATTTGCTTTAAAAAACAAAAAAAAAAAAAATATCAAAAACAAACAAATAAAAAAAATCATCAGATTAAAGAAACGTAAAATGCGTCTTCACACACATCTTTAGAGATCATTATGGCTGGAATATAAAACGTGAATCAAATATATAAATTCATTCTTTAAAAAAAACCCGCACATATACATGTGCCTATACAGACTATAGATATCTTTACACAAACATGTTTAAGTACTTATTTGTCTATTTTACTACCTTCAGTAGAGTTTGTATTCAATGTATGAAATAAGAGTAGTAATCAACCAAATTGCACAAAAATTTTAGACGGGTTCAAAGCTAAACGCCGCTCCTTAGATTTTCATAATCAAAATCATCCGAGTCCGAATCATCCAGTCTGTCCCTGACATTCTCATAGTCGTCTTGGTCAAGGTCTTCGATATCTTCGTATCCATGGGAACTTGCTTCCTCTTGAATGACGTTTCCTCGGAGGGATAATTTCGCCTTATACCGAGAACTTTTTTGTTTTGTCGCCTGTTGACCTTTGGTCGCCATTTCCACATCTATAATTTGTCGTGTACTTGCGAATTCGTCTGGGTTTGTCTGCATGCGCCCTCCACAGCAGCATCTTAAAATAAATCAAGATATAAAGAGTTAGTTAGGCAAAGGTATAATCTGCCCCAAATATCTAAAGATAAATCCAATTATAAAGAGTGAGTGAGGCAAAGGTATAATCTGCTCCAAATGAAGGGGGCAATAAAGTTGATTTGGGTAGGGAATAGCTGGAATTACCCCTCCCTCTCCCTTTCTTTTACTATTTCCACTAACTAAGCATTTAAATTGACATAATTTTCGGACTCAGTTTACATCTTTATTAATCTATATTTTACAGATAGAATTCTGAATCATTTATAGATTGGGCAACTTCAATTGAATGATTTTTAGTCGCACTCATTTTTGAAGTGGATTGATATTTATGATCAGTCATGAGTGCACTGGATGCAGATATTTTGTTTTAATTAGGTATTATTATCTTCTGAAAACCATGTTTATGTCCTATTGACAAACTTATCCATTCAAATACTGCAGTCTGAATTTCAGAAGAATCATACTCATTTAACAGTATATCACGCAGGTTTTAGTATGCTCGATTATTTATCACATAAAAATATAAACACCATTTATGTTCAAACTGCACGGTTAATGATTCTTTCATTCATTCTTTTCCATTTTATTTGATACTATAATCAACAATCGAAATATACCTACTGATAAAATTATTGTAATTTTTAAGACTAGGATGTTTACATAATTATTCATTACAAGTTCCCTTAACCACTGTAACAAATTAATTATTGTTATACTTTTGAAAATTGGTTCCTATATAAATTAAATATGAATATAACGAACAGTATTCAATCTCGAAAGTCCATTGAAACGATACAAATTTGGAGCAGAGCAAACACGGGCCTCAGAATTTAGAGTTGAGATCAGGTGCCATGGAGCAGTGAGCATCCCTTGCCGACCGGTTACACCCTCCGTTTGCTCCTTGTAATGATCGGGGGAAAAACCCGGAAAAATCCGCTGACAGTTCAGTGTATAAATAATGGCCTAACAATTAGTATGAAAAACGTCAGTCAGCATTCGACTCAATGATAGGTTGTATGTGCTGACAAGGTCATTGTATTGACCATAAAACTTGCGGAATGAAGACTCCAAACGAGACTGTTGATATCCTTGTTTCATCAACTTGTTTGTCAATAGCTTGTCTCGTTTTAGAAATTGTTCATACGTAGAGCATGCTCTTGTGTATCGAATCAACTGAGAGACATAAACTCCATATGCAGGTGATAAGGGTATACTACTACATAAGAAAGGAAAGTTGACGATTGAAAATTTGAAGTCATTACGTTTTGATCATGAAGCTTTGTTGTTAGGTTACCATTAACGTCTTTTCTAGTAAAATATCTAAATATGAAAATCTATTCTAAAAGAATGAACTTTTCCAATGTTTTACTAATTTATAAGCGGTCATAATAAAATTGATGTTTGACCGCAGAGTAAGATATTGGACCTGTCGATGAGCTATTGGCCCACTTATGTCACAATGTGGGATTAACTACATGTAACTCTTGGTGTTTGACAGTGAAAGAATTGACTGAATTTTACCGCAGGGCAAGTAAAGGAAATTGACATCATGAAAACCAGCACAAAACACTTTTTGGCAAAATAAATAAATAAATAAAAAGGTATAACAAAACATTTCTTGATTGTTTTCTCAGGAAAATCCGTTTCGTCGACCCCTCGAACCAAAGGGTCTCATGCAAACAGTTTGGTTCTTGGGTCCGACAAAGCGCATTTTGCCCTCGAACTCAGTTAATATATATACATGTATATATATATATTCATATTAACTGAGTTCGAGGGCAAAATGAATTTATATTAATGACTATTCAATATTTTTTTTAAATATTTCCTTTACGGTAATCATTTTTCCAGGGTTATTGTGATTCTAAAAGCGTTATTTATTTATTTATTTAATTTACAATGTATTTATTTATTTCATCATGTTACTTTCCGTATTCAGTTAAGTCGTACATAATTACATATTAAAAAAAAATTATTGCGTGAGAAAGCGAAGTACCAGTTCCTCTCAAAGAAACTTTTTTTTTTAATTTTGACTTTGTCTCAGTATAAAACATTTAATATAACATATCATTGTACCAATCTAACATATGTTAGATCAACGCTGATTCATGTTATGGAAAAAAACTCCCATATTCATGACTGGTTTTCTTAATTTTTCACTGAAAATAACAGTTCAAAATGTGATTTTTCGTCTTGTTCATCTACAAATTATGCCCCGAAACACCTTATTTGACCAAGCTAAAGTTATAAAGCACCATTAAAGGAATTTATTTCTTAAATTTGAGAAATCTGTAGGTACCTTTCATTTACTAGATCTTGACCTTAAAGAAAAGCATGTACTGCTCACTAAATTTACATGACCGAATACACGAGAAGTTTGATGGAATACAAATCGTAACTGCAATATTGTACATCATGTAGCGCTCTCCATTTTTTCAGGGGGGGGGGGGGGGCTACAACTCCTTAGAATCTTCGCAATGATCCAAGTGCGGTAGTGATTCAATATTTTCGCTCAGATTAGCATTCTTACCTGAACTCAAAAAAGTAGTTATGCAAGACATAATTATACTGATCGAAAAATTTGAATAGTCCGTATATACATATCGGTAATTTTTGGTGTACGACAACACAACTTGAATTGTCCACCATATTTACTGATCTTAATTGATTTTATTTTCGGACAGCCGACGGAAAATCGAGAGCAAGGTAGCGGATCTTGTGAATGAATTCCTTATTTTAAGCATAAATATTACTGTAATTGAATGAAATAAAGAAAATTTTATATGGAATGTTGGAATGCTTTTACATGTCTTTATCAATTTTCACGGCAAAATCATTTATCTGCACCGATATTTAGAAGTATTTAACTATCAAGCAATAATTCTAAATTTGAAGCGCAAGGCTCAGTACATCACGTAAGACCTGTTATTGCAGCTCAGGGAGACAACTGAAAAATAGTGCAGTTGCATTTTGTGTAAATAAAGGCCTAGGACAGGTAGATCATAATGAATAAAAATTCCATTTCATTCGAAGGAAGTCGAATCTCAAAGCGATTTATTTTGCCTGAAGCCACCCATATCAAAAATATTTTTTGCATCATAACAGAGATGCAATAGAATTTGTAATCCTCTTCTGAATTCAGATTAATAATACCGTAGATAGCTACATTATTGCAGCCAGAGAAAACGGAATAAACAGCTCAAGTTTGTTCTGGTGCTTTTCAAATTATCTTGGAAATAAATTGATGATACATACATGTATTGAAGGTCATTAGTGAGAGAACCATTGAATTTATTCTAATATTTGATGCGATTGGCGCAAATAAATAACTATAAAACAAGGAAGTATGAATCGCCAAGGATATCGGTATCATGTGCTGACGTGAACATCTGACAGAAAGTCGTGTTTTGTTGTGAAAGAAACTAGATAAAAGCAATGCATGTTCAACAAATCTTGTCAGCGTCGGTATCAAGCCTGTTACCTGTACTTTGTGTAGTGAGTCTAAACATCTGGGAAAATAAAAATCCTCAAATGGCATGCATTTATATTTTCCTTGCCGAAACTTACATTGTCCTCAAATTCTTATTGAAATTGTTAACAAGTTTAGACCCAGTGTTCTTCCTAATAATGAAACATAACCTATACAATGATCATGTTGCTGGGATACATGTATATGTAATGTGGTGAAATCAATTCCATCAGAAAAGACACGACTTCGCCAACAGGATAAAAAACAAGCCTACCCCGTAAAATAGGTTAAGCATCTCCTTCTTTAAATTTTCATTTCATGGAGGAAAAAATTACTAAAATCATTGATTTTTTTAAAAGCATGTTTATATGAAAAAGGATTATATTTTCAGGTATTATAAAAGAAAAACGGGGTGACAAATAAGACCTTGGGTCTCTCTTGTTTGTATAAAATAAAAGATTTTATAATTTTTCTTCTGCAAGTTGATGGAGTAGTCCTGTTGGCTAAGTGATATGTGAAGGAAACTAATTCAGACATAAAAGGAGGCTAGCACCGCCCTCTCTCCAGTTTAAAGCTTTGTAGATTATTATCCTCAACATCAAATACTTTTAGATATTTAGTAATTTAATATTTTTAGATGATTAGTTATTATCTTAATGAAGACCTTGTTCTTGTTTGATAGGTAATTATTCAACCAACACAGTCTCTTCAAAAATCTTTAGAAAGAAAAGAACAGAATCACACGGAGAGCGATCTCAATTATATACTTAAACATCTTTTTCTCATCACTCAGTTTAAAAAAAAATAATAGCTGGTGAGAATAGCTATTGATTTCCGTTAAACCTCGTTTGTCGTTGATGTAGAAATAAGTACCTGTAATTATAAAATAATGGTCGGGATCTCTCCTATACAAGAGCTTTTTATCGCAGTCACACATTGAATTTAAATAATAATTTTAAAATTACTGGGCCAGCTTGATTGTAGATTAGCGGACCCATTGTCCTTGATTTTTAGTATTTACACTGATAATTGTAATGTAATACAATGATTCTGCAATGAAAAAGCTGTTTTTTAAGTACATGTATATGCATGCATAGAGTGTTTTATGAAATTTAATGTTGCAATATAAAGCAACATTGGTAAGAGGTCGAAATCTTCTGTAAAACCGGAGGAGGGGAAAGGGTGTTATTTAAAACAACAAACACTCTTTAATAAGCGAATGTTGATTCATTGAAATTAATCAACATTTAGCATCTTCACTCAAAATCAAAGAAAAAATATAGAAAGATGAATTCAAAATTAGACAAAAAAAAAAAAATGAAATGAAATGACAATTAACCTCAATGAATTACTTGTATGTTGATCTGGTGTCGGTCAGGTTGATAAAATTCAATATCAAAAATACTTACCTCCTAACGCATATGACGATGCCAATAGAAACACAAAGTAGAATCCCGAGGGCGACTACAACAAGCCCCAGGTACACACTGAAGGGGAGGGGGAAGGAAAAGTATGAAGCGAAGTCTGTAAACTGGGTAAAAGACAACAGTGCTGAAAAAAAGAACAAAATGATAAGTAAAAGTCCCTTTCGAATAATAAAAAATACCTCTATTTTGATAGGAAATTATTTTCTGTAAGCGGAATGTTCAACTAGACGCTCGGCTGTCTTCGTCAGGGACAAAGACATTTTTGCAGCATTAACAAACACTTACGCCCCACCCCTCGCTCAGGCTGGATTAAAACAATTTCCCTGTTTTTGAAATGAGCACGCCCGTAGGAGGCAATTTCAGTTTAGTGGGGGGGGGCACTATCAACTACCAAAAATTCCTTGACAAGTGTTATTGAGGGGGCACAAGCATACGGTAGTTATGTCTTCTATAGTATTCTATACAGCGGCAAAATTACCCCCCCCCCCCCCCCCGGTTCCTACGGCCAACGGCCATGATGTGTATATATAAATGTAAATCTAGTGCCTTTCACTCTCTCCGTATGCTTATCTGAGTTAATTAGTTTGTAAAACTGTTGCTAATGAACAACTTTGTAATGTTACTAAATTAGTTTCGCGATGTTTTATATATACACATAGCTAAAGCTTCCTGTTCATGGCAACGGTATATTGACGCAAACTCCAAATCCATCATTATTGTTTCCTGCATGTTTGAAAAAAAAATATTCGCCCTATGGGGCATAGTACAAAAGTAAAAAGTCGATCCATATTTAATCAAAGAGCTCATTTGTCTTAATAGTATAATCCTATATGTTTGGTATTTCATCTATTCTTTCAGCGAGGTGGCAAATCAGAATATTAGAGAGGTTTTTGTTTTTATTGAAAGCTAATAAATACAGTGCATCCCGAGAATATACGAGAGCTATTTAAATGAAAGAAAGGGTCGGAATGCGTAATGTATTATGAGACCAGTTGTATAAAAAAAAACAGCTCGGGCAGAACTTAATCCATTCAGTGAGCTTGAACGTATGTGTAAATCACCCGACAAAAATGTCCTTTTATGCCAAAAAAAAAAAAAAAAAAACTGTTAGATGATCGAGAATCTGCAATATTTTCCACATACACGTACATGCATTAAGTAGTTTATTGTTGCACCCCAATTCCTTTCCAAAATATTTTAAAATCCAAGACGTGATGACATACATACATGTATAAAAATTAAGGACGTCTAAATAACCAAATAACATACGAGTACATATACCCAATTATCCATCCCCTCCCCTACCCATAGTTTACTTTTCACTCAGATATTTCGATAAATACAGCAGGTTAAAGCGAGCAAGAACAATCTTACCTGACATTGTGTTTATCTATATATGTACATTCATGTAATAGTTCCGGCTTCGTTAAGGCGGAAGGAAGGAGAAGAGGTCATCACACACTTAGAAACTCTTGAGATGATAACATCAGCTTACCATCAGCTTAATACATGTTCACGAATTTCTGTTTATTGCTTTTTAAGTGCAGCATGTACTTAATATACACTTTGACAGTGAAAATATTTTTCTGCTCCTTTGCTCAGGTTTGTGTGTATACATGATTATGTAATTCATCAAGGAAACGGACGAAATTAAAAGTGTTTAGTTGCTCTATAAACATAGATTACATGATTGTTTATGTGGATAAAACTAAGAAAAAAAGATGAATTTCGACTGATAATATTATAATATACACGACATACATATTACTTTTTTCAGATAATAAAACTTGACTAATTTTCTTATTTTCTCATTCCCAAGAAGAGTAGAGGCATGCGCAGATCGGGGGGGGGGGGGTCAGGACCCGCCCTTCTGGAATTTGCAGAGTTATACTGAAGCAAATGAAAACTGACTTTGGACCCCCCCCCCCCCCCGAAAACGTGGACCCCACCATCATCATCAGCACGAAATAGGTGTTTTTCACGTTTGTGAAATGGATTTTACGTGTGTTTTTATTATTATTATTATTATTTTATTTTATTTTTTTTTTTATTTTTAAAGAAATTTTTGGTTAAGAATTTTTTTTTGACTGGGATACCCCCCCCCCCTTGGAAAAAATTCTTGGACCGCGCCTGAGATGTATTTTCAGTCATTCTCTGCTAAGTTTATTCTCATTCAAGGATTTTAAGTTTTGATTTCAATTACAATTTTGTCGATATTCAAGAATTATTCTCATTTTCAGTCAAAAAGAGAAGGAAGCAGTTTCATTTTTGGGGGGAGGGCAAACCAACCAGTAATATTATTATTATTATTTTTTTTTTTTTGACAAGCTAAAAAAAGGGGGCTAACATCAACCCCGGTTTCTAGGGGTCTTTAAATGCATATGGATTAGGCGGTCTGTGACCCGTAGTCCCTTACATCAATGAAATTAAAATGACGTGATGCTAAATATTCCTTGACGAAACCCCTTGACGTTTTCTTTATATCAACTACATGTATTTAATTTTCGTTAAATCAGCCACCTTAGAAATGAAGTGTTTTTGAAATGCATTCTTTTTTTTTTCTTTTCGGAAATAATAAACACGTGCAATTATATATCGAGGGTCAATACGGATAAGGAGATCAGGTAATTGAATAATAATTGTGAACAGCTTGCAAAAAAGAGGAAAAAGCCTTTTCCCAGAAACTATCAGCTTTCTGTGCAGGTAGGTTTGATTATTTTTTACTCATTTTTAACACCTTTAATTAAATGGTACATTAATATATTTATTTCATTTCCTCCACTTCTTATACTCCTACTGATCAATCGAATTGCATCCCTCCCCACTTTTTTTTTCTAAGGCAATTAAAACGAATGTACAGAAATCTACATATAACATCTGTATATTTTAGAGATGAAAGTTGTATGAAATCTTACAACTCATGTGGTATGTTATGCGGATGACTTTTCCTATCTCTTATTTAGGATGTTTGCCTGTACGGTTTTAGTTTATCTAAGTGTACAATGTGGACTTGGATATTCGAAGATTTACGAAGAACCGCTTCCAAAAGAATTCACAGATTGCCTTAATATGATTCTACCGAACAGCGCCGTGAAACGAGATCCTGCTTACGTCATTGACTACGCATGCGCAAATAAATACCTTACTTCTACTCCCAACGAAAGATGGAAACCAAAAACCAATAGCAATGCTGAGAAACAGTTGACAGACCAGGCCAACAATTTAGAAATTCAAACTAAGTCAGAAAACGTGCAATATAAAGAGGGAAGTCTAATTCAACATTTTGCAGCCAGACGCAACAAGCGTTCAATTAGATCGCCAACTATCATACGAAAAGAATATAGACGGATGAGCGAGGAAGAGAGACGCAATTTCCATCGAGCTCTACAGCTTCTTAAAGATGACTACAACTTTCACGGAACAGAGGTGACGTTTTGTTTCAGGTTGTTCTGAATAATACACACATCCTTTTAGTGCACTGTAATTCATTTTCACAGGAACACAATGAACTCAGCAAAAAGTGTCATTTTTTAAAGCCTTGTTTTTTTTTTTTTTTTTTTTTGTTTTTTTTTTCGTTTTTTTTTTTTGTTTTTTTTTTTGTTTTTTTTTTTTTTTTGTTTTTTTTTCGCTTGACTATTGCCCTGTATTATGAAAAAGAGTTGGAATTCATTGTGCCATTGTATCTAAAGAAAAAGATATTTATTCTAACCCTGAATATAAAAACAAACCTTAATGATTTTTGTTATAAGGTTAGGATTAATGTGATACCCATAGTGTAAAACATAATAACCTAAATGAAAAAAGGGTTCTTGATGTTCCCCTTATCGATCGTTGATGCAAAAACATCACAAATTGATGTAATTGCAGTATTAAATATGTCTGAATGCACAGAGGTAGAAAAGTAATGGAAATGACTGGGTCTATAGTCGAACATCTCAAGTCTTCACGCATGGAAAATTATCTATAGCATTTAATGCATTATAGTTCTATATGCTTAAAAATAATAGATTTTTAAGAAAACAAAACAAAACTTAGCAAACAAACACAAAACAAGTCTTCTAACAAATTTATGAAATTTCTCATTTAAAAATGAAATCGATTTGGAAAGTAGAGTGTTAACATTTTCTCATTTGATTTAGTAGATTAAGTAGTAGATTTTAAACAATTGATGTAATTATAGTAGTTGCAATGTCCTTAGGTTTATGTCCACGATTAAATTTTAAACTGAGGCAAGCTATTGACAAATACGCTGACGTTACAAGGATTTCAACAATCCTGTTGAAAGTCAGCTTTTCGCATATTCTACGGTTGTTATCATGAGATTGTTTGTAAATATAACCTATCGTTGGGTCGTATTTTGTCTTTCATGTTTCAAAGCATTTGTTAACGTCATTGATTTTATATTGAATTTGACGACGGAGTATATACTCCGTTTTACCTGATCAACAAATAGGGGTTACAACGGATGTGACCGGTCGACACGGGATGCTTTCTCCTCCTAGGCACCTGATCCAACCTCTAGTGTCTGATTGATTACTGTTTGTTTTCATCACCTTTTGCATTTATGCACAATTAACAATGTTGTATTGTATCCCATATTACCTTGTAAGAAAACTGAAAACATGACCAAGCTTTTTGTGATTTTATAGGTTCAAGTTTATTTAGCTAGATGAATCGGCAAATTTGAAGACAAATAGCTATTATAGCATAATTTTATTGTGAAATATATGTACGACAATTCATTTGTTGACCTTAATAAAAAGTAATGTTCTTTTTAAGAATATTTTACTGTCTATTTTTATATATTAACTTTGTAGGTTGCATTGAATATTTTAACTCAACATTAAGTTTTGGTTTTATACCAATTACTTTTTCGCCTTAGACTTGCATATAAATATAATTATGCGTTTCTATTCACGTTTGTATTCTTTCATGCTTTTCTTTTATATTTCAGACAGAATTTAATATTTATGACACTTTGTGCAACTTGCACCACGCGTCCAATGCTCCGCATGCGCACTTTGGACCCGCCTTTCTAGCATGGCACCGGGTCTTTCTGTACATGTAAGCACTGTAATTTAATTACTAATTCATTGTGTAAATATAATGCATATGTCGTGAAAAACATCATTCTTAAAGCGTACAGATTTAATGGTAATCTCATTACTGTAATAGCTTACATCCTTATGTTTTTAAAGGCAATCATGTACCTCAAATACTGTTAAAATTGGGTTTTTGGTCGAACATACTGATTGACTGTCTATAATCAAGATATTCATTCATTCAGCAATCATTTTCAGAATTATAGATAACCATTAGACAATAATCATTATAATGTACATTGAAGAATTTTGTCGTATTTTTGTACAGATTCGAGCAACTACTTCGTTCTAAGGTACCCGATGTTTATGTGCCCTACTGGGATTCAACATTAGATTCACTGTTGGAAAACCCTACAGCCTCGGCCTTGTTCACGGACGGAATGATGGGGTCTGGAAACGGGGTTGTCACAACTGGACACTTTGCGAATTGGTCGCATCCGTTTGCAGGTGATCTAGTTAGAAACATTGGAAATGTAGGGGAGCTGATTCAAAAAGACGACTTATATAGAATTGTAAACGTGGCTCACACAAGAGATTTCATGTTTCCATATGCATCTCCGTATAAAAATCTCGAACTTATTCATGGAAAAGTTCATATGTGGGTAAGTGGTACAATGGACAGCTTAAATTACTCCCCGGCGGATCCAATCTTTTGGATGCACCATTGTTTTATTGATTATATCTGGGAGAAAATTCGTCAAAGACAAAAGGAGCGGGGTATCGATCCACGGTTTGACTATCCAAACGGCGGAGGTGTTGGTCACCGACCAGAGGACATGATGAAACCTTTTCCACTGAGAAATAAGGATGGTTTTCTGGCAGACTGGTCTAAAATCTATGAGTACGAGGAGTCACCCGGGGATATCGATTGTGAATCTGATTTTGACTGTGGGTCTCTCTATTATGCCTGTGATGCTGGACTGTGCAGGGCAAAAACGATGGATGAGATGATTTTCTCCCTTGCACTTAAGAAACGCAGACGACGGCGATCTTTGATGGAGACATATACCACAAGTACGACAATCACAGACTCTTCAACATTCTTTACAACAACACCCGAACAAAGCTTCTTTGTAAACAGTGTAGACCCTTCCAATTCTTTAGACATGCAGACAACTCCATTGTTCCATTCCATGCAGAATACATTTATGATGAATGGAAAGGAGGATTCGAAAGCTTGGGTAGACATACCGATAATTATATACTCTCGAAGGCCTTCAGATTTAGTATTTGATGCTCACCCTTTTCGAAGAGGTGAAGTGAACCTTACGTCCGACGTTTATCAGACAACAGAGAGGGAGGAGAAGGTACTGCCGCGCGCCGGGCAACCCGCCACCATTATAAAATGTCAACACATGGGGTCTGGAGCATCGAAAGTTATTGTAAGATCTATAGGCGTAAATTATGAGGGTGATTATACTACTGATGCCATTGTTGACGAAAAACAAGCTTTAACAATAACTTTAACACAAGTGGCTGTAAAAAATCCTTACAAGAATGTTACAAAAGCTTACGTTGCCGCCTACGATCGCTGTGGACGTATGTGTAAGCCATTTTGTCTTACTGGAAGTAACAGTACCTATGAAAAGTGCTCAGGAAGTATCGGTGTTGATTCGCGCATGCCTAGAATGTATAATTCTGATATTGCCGGCGCCATTTTACAGACGTTTGATTACAGAACTTTTCCCCCCAAATTGGCAGAAAATAATATTTTTCTGATATTTTATTGTGGACAAGAAGAAGACTGGCCATGGTTGATCAGAAAAGACTAAAATTCGTTTATTGTGAAGAGCTAAAATATCTTTTTGATTTAATTCTTATTGAGGATTTTCAATCTGCAGGCATTTTTACCTTGATACTTTACCATTTTTTCATGTCTAAAAAAATGAGATCAGGAGTAGTAATTGCATTCAAAATAAACCAGTGCTGCAAAGCAAATCCACAATTGAGTAAATGATAGTTTGTAGTTAACAAAAACCGATTTTTTTTTCCGATTTTCTAAGTCCTGATGGCTTTTACACTCGGGTGTCATTAGCAATTTCATTGAAATACATATAATAAAAAATATGGATTACGCAGTCAATATTTAACATCAAAGTTTTATTTGTATATTTATTTATTTTTCAAAAGAGAAAAAGAGTTTGAAATCACGAACATAAAAACGTTCATGCTTATCAGTATTTTTGAAACCGTAAGGGCTTATTTCCTAATATAACATGCATGGACTTATTGATCGTAATAAAGATGAAAAGTATACCAATATTGATTGTTAAGTCAATATTTTGTCTGTAAAATTGCATTGGTTATTGTTGAGATGAACTTTAATCAGCCTGAATGAGGAATCCTGACAAATGACTGTGAATTTCCCCCTCCCCAGGCCGATGTCCCGCTAAAACATGCTGACCTCCTGCCACGCCTACCGTTAACCAGATGGCATCCCCCTTTGTGCCCTGAATGACTGTCGATGAAGAAGCATGGAGCCAGTAGTTGGTATTATGGTCTAAAAATATATATGCTATTTTTCTTCCGTTCTGGAGGATGAAGAAATGCATGTAGTGGCCGACATCTCCGTTATTTGGGGAGGAGAGAACTACGTTAAAATGATAGGTCCCTGTAATAGGTACGGTAAAGATCCCTGTACTTGGGTCATAGGCGTTGCCAACGTTGGTTAAAATCTGGTCAAAGACAACTTTCTTTCCTTGAGTTGGATTTATCAAATCCTGGGACATTTCGGCGAAGAAAGCAACTGGTTGTTGCTTAGCTACAAGAAACACAAATAAGAAGATAACTTGAAATGATTTTATTTAGAGCAGAGAGTATGTCTCTGGCCTCTGGTGAATAAGGTTGAAGTGAATACGTGGAGCACACATAGAAGCACACATATACTTTTTGATATTAGTGCCTGTATTATTGTGTAGAATTCTGTAGAATTGTGAAAAAACTGGCGAATTTATAATCTGCTCATTTACAAAATACTCTCATACATGCATAACATGTAACATTAAGTTCCTTTTTTTTAGTGAATATAAGAACTTGACTTGGAACAAACAGAAGGGTTTCCTTTCATGTATAAATATGAAAAACACCTTAAAATGTCATTCAGTATTATAGAATGCTTTATTCCATGGACTAATCGATGGTTTAAGAAAGATTCAAATAAAGTCTTTACCTAAATTAATTAATACAGTAATCATTGCGTAACTTTTTAGTTTTGGAAGCAGCTTTGACAGTTTTTCCAATGAAAAAACAATACTGTACATACACATATTTCTAAATTGGAATTTCCTGGTCAAATTGTTTACAGGTACTTTTTGTATTTAGAAGTTGTTTTTGTTTATTTTTTTAATACAGTCCCTGAAACGTTCTACTTTCCCATTTTTCCGTTCGCTCACCGTTCGTTCACCGTTCGTTCAGCGTGCGTTCACCGTTCGTTCACCGTGCGTTCACCGTTCGCTCTCCGTTCACAGTTTTGCGTTCACCGTTCACCGTGCGCTCGCGTTCACCGTTCACAAAGTGTTCAGCGTTCGCTCTTCGTTCCGTTCACTTTGCGTTCACCTTGCGTTCAGCGTTCACCTATCGTTCAGTTTTCATTGCCATTCGGAACTCCCAAGTGAAAGGACTTATCTTTTTGTAGGTAAGGAGATACAGGTTTTTTAATTTAATAACTAACATATCGTGTTTGAAGAATCATTATTTCATGGAGGAAAATATCTAAGATATATATTTTTATTATTCTAACTTAGCTATTAGGTTATTTATTAAATTACTCTGGAAAATAAATGTTGTTATAAGCACGTTCTGTACCTATGTAGAACGATGCTGATATATTAAATTTAACTAAGGGCAATGTGCAAATACTTCAAGAATTGCAACATTTTGTTTTGTTAAAGACGAAAAATCGTTTATGGAGATATAATTATCCAAGTCGAATAATTACGCAGCAAAATTATGAAAATATTTATTTCTAACGCGTTTTTTTTTATTCAGTTACTACAGAAAATATGATACAGCTAGTTCTGAGAGTTATACATAGTACTGCGGATATCCTGTTAATTTATTATCTTTGGAGCGAATTAAATTGATAATGTGTTTAAAGGAAATATTTACTTAAAATGAAATGCACTACAGAATTGTCGCTACTATAATACATGTATGTAAAGTCTATAGTTATAGAGAAAAAAAATTCTTTCTTCACCGTAACTTTATATGTTTGCCATTTGATATGATTAATACCCCCCCCCCCCCTTTTCCCCTAAATCGGTTACTTAGTCAGTACTGTATTTCCAGAAAATTTTAATTAACCTGTTAAAAAAAGTTAAGGTCTTTTGTAGAACAAAAATTTCAGTCTCAAAACAAACATGCGTCTAAAAAAGTCACAAAACAATAGTAGTTCACAATGTACACGTGTCGGTGGTGGTATTTGAAATTGGCAGAGAGTATGTTTCAAATTCAAGTGTTAATGCCCAATATATTTTATTCATTTATTATTCAAATGTTGGTATCAAATCTAGAAATGATAAAAATAAATGTTATAACTTGTTGGAAATACTCGCACTTCGTCTTCGATGTGACGAAACTTTCACACCTGCACACCTGCACAGTGTCGAATGATTTTGATTGACAGGACAAGCACGTGGAGTTCGTGTGAACTTGAAGCAGGAAAATAAAAACGAGTATGACTGTCAAACAAATGGATATGATTTGTTGATAAAAAAAGAAGAAGTTACTTTCACTGTCTAATATATTTAGAAAAAAATTTCAGAGTTATTGTTTGATATAGGTACAAACATTTAGTGAAGCCTGAAAGGAAGGGGGGGGGGCTGAAACGGAATCTCTCTCTCTCTCTCTCTCTCTCTCTCTCTCTCTCATTTGTCTGTTTAATAAAAATTATAACAGCATATTACCTAAATATCAAGTTCTGAAAATTGAATTTATAACAAATAATATGAATATGTATCTTTGTATTATCTTGTATGAGTATAATCACGGCCATCTATAGATACATGTAGAACTCTGCTCAGTAAATCATCATGAAAAATAGAAATGACACATAATATATTTTTTGTCATCTCGCCCAAGCAAAACTATTAGCTTTGTTTGATTTGCAGCAAAAAGATAAATATTGTATTAAAAATTTAAAATACGAGCGTATAAATGCAAAACGTCCACTGACCATTGTAATTAATTTTTTTTTTCATTACTTTACATGAAATCGCCTTGACACGGAGATATATGAATGGGTGTTACAATCGCTTTAATTCATTCTATAAGTCAGAAGTTTTCTCTGATTTGTTATCAAATAAGAATAAACATTTTTATTTTCCAACTAAAAAAATATCTTTTATACTTCAGCGTTCGGCAACAATTGCAATGTTTTAATGCGTTTAAAATCGTATGATTAAAAACTTAATGTGCATGAATCGTCTTTCTTAGGACAATTTTGGAGAATTTATTTTATTTACTTATTTATTCATTCATTTATTGGTTTACTTATTTATTATTTTTTTTTGTCACCTGACATTATAATACAATAAAATAGTTTCAATGCAAGGAAAAAATCAGAGGCATTCCGAATATATCGTTCATCTTGCGTTCACCGTTCGTTCACCGTTCACTTTGCGTTCGCGTTTGCGCTCCGTTCGCGTTCTGCGTTCGCTCACCGTTCACCGTTCACACATCGTTCACCAAGTTGCGTTCAGCGTTCACACATCGTTCACTCACCGTTCGCTCTGCGTTCGTTCAGCGTTCGTTCACCGTTCGTTCAGCGTTCGCTCACCGTTCAAGTGGGAAAGTAGAACGTTTCAGGGACTGTATTCTCGTAGAAAAGATTTCTATTTACAACTTAGTTGGGAATAAATGTCAACTTACATTTCAGCTCTATTAGTTCGTGTTGCAGTGCTATAAACGCAGAGGAATTTAGTTTGAGATTGGCATTTTCTGCTTTCAGTGACACAATTTCTTTTTCAAGTGAGGTCACGCGCTGGATAACGTTTTGTAATGTATCAGCATTGGCTTCACAGCAGTCTACATGTCCCTGTGGTTGCGACTGTGAGCTCACTACACCAGCGCAAAGAGAGAAAGCTATAGTCAGAAAATTCATGGCGTTATAATAGGCGAATTATCAAAGTACAGATTACACTACGGTAACCTGTATTTGGACCTTATCTTTATACGATAAATATTCTACGGCCCGTTTACATATACACAGCAAGATTTCATTTTATCTTCTACTTTATTATCAACCTGATTTTGTCGTCAAAAAACCATGGATACAAGAATGGCATCTCATTAATTATTACCGTAAATGTAGCACAGTATTCACATCATTTACTATATATATAGCAATTGGGACAACCTATGAATAATGAGTTGAAGATGTACAACTAGAGTACCCAAAAGTGTGTGAGGGGGAGGGGTCCTTCTGTAGTGAAATATATGGAGATAACGAACAGTATTCAAGCTCAAAAGTCCATTGAAACAATACAAATCAGAAACAGAGCAAAAACTGACCTCTTAAACATTAGAGGTGGAATCAGGTGCCATGGAGGAGTGAACATCACCTGCCGACTAATGAAAGATTGTATTTGCTGACAAGGTCATTGTATCGACCATAGAACTAACGAAATGATGACTTTAAACGAGACTATTGATATTCTTGTTTCATCAACTTGTTTGTTTATAATTTACCTCTTTTTAGAAATTGTTCATACGTAGAGCATGCTCTTGCGTATCGAATCAACTGAGAGATATACACCCAAGATGCAGGTGATAAGTATATATATTGCTACATAAGTAAGGGAAGTTGACTATTGAAAAGTTAGAGTCATCATTTTTATCATTAAGTCTTGTTGTTAGGTGTTTATGTCTTTTTCTAGTAATATCCAAATATGAAATAATTCCTTTTTTCACCATAATTTCCTATTTGAATTGTTTCTTTCCATTGTAATTACATATATAAAACGGCAACACGAGTCCAACTACAAAGTATCTGAATATAACGCATAAAGCGGTAGAAAGATGGAAAAGCCAACTTTAAAGATTATAGTTCGAATTTCAACTTTAATGTTGGAATTAACAACTTTAAAGTTGGAAAAGCCAAGATTAAATTAAGAATTACCAACTTTAAAGTTGCAATTATCAACATTAAAGTTTGAATTATCAATTTTAAAGTTACAAATTACCAACTTTAAAGTTAGAGTACCAACTTTTAAAAAAGATATTATGTGGCACTAATACGCTTCCGTAATTTTCAAAAAAAAAAAAAAGAAAGAAAGAAAACAACAACAACAACAACAACATATTTTTCCGATGTCATCGACGAACAGATTTTTCACGCTGTTTATGGAGATAAAAGAAAATAAAGACAAGCATGACATATATGGCTATGTAGATAAATTATCGTAAAAGATAATGGTTATAAATAGTCTGCCATTGCATTTTCTCTGAAAGTGTAAATAACCGCGATTCTTGGGAGGAGGTTACTCCATGGAATTCAGACTTAGATGCCTTTTATTATTATACTGTTGGTAAAAAAAAAATATTACAAAAGCAAGTGCCTGTGTGCATATACTGTATGAAGAAATAAATCCTGGTCAGTTTCTATTTTCTAATGAAGTAAAAGAATAGCTAGAATGTAATAATAAAATGTATATTTTATTTTGAGTTGTCCATGGGGACATGACCTGATACTATTTTTCATAAAGAAACAACAAAGTATGCCTAAGCTCAGAATTAAGAATCGAATATGTAGGTAGAGTGCTTCATGAAATACTGCCTGGGTGAAAAATATATCTGGTCATGCCTTCAGAAACTTTTTAAGACTGAAATATAATTCTTTAAATAAGATAATACACACATATACATTGTTCTGATTGTGGAAACTGTAAATGAACGAATATTAGACATTATGAACATCCCATGTATGGGCTATTTGCAATAACAGCGTATAGATATAAAACCAAAAAGGTGCACAGTGAGTGTGTGGGTGTCTGTGGGTGTGTATGTGTATGGGTGTGTTTGTACATATATGTCTGTGTTGTTTGATCTTATGTATATGATTTTTTTTTCAAAAATAAAGCATTAAAAAAAATAAATAAAACAAAATCGACAAATCTCAGTTAAAGACAAACATAATTCAATTCACTTCCAAAATCCCTTCATTAAGACAAAAATGAACCATTTTAAATGGGTCATGTAAAATGCTAATCGGAAAAGAGTAATCCTCCCACAGTATCACATGATTCTCATTGTAAAGTGATGGACAACCGGAAGTGTAGCTATATAGGGGAGACAATAGCGTCAGGAAAATGTCCCCTCTCAATAACACATCAATATCCGACTATTGTGAGAAACAGCTGATCTATTATCCCTGAAATAACTTTTAAATATTGAGATACCTGATTTGTTATTATCGATTTTCATAGTGTTGAAACCTGAAGGGATGGCAGGATTTTAATCACGGACAGCATGTTTTAGACAAGAAAAGAAATAGATTCTGTAAAAATATTACATTTGGATTTTTTCACATATATCATATGTTTTAAAAAGTTTAAAAATTATGTAGTTCGTGTGTTTTGCGGAAAATGGGCTTAACTATGGATAACAGTGCCTCTGAACGTGTCAACCAACAGAACAGGGATCTGTAGAATATTAGATTCAACGATTTTTATCTTATACTTTGAATGAAGGAATATAATTTCAATGTGAAACTTTACCACCATTTGATACAAGCTTATGTGCATCATGTTATTTACATTGATCTACCGGATAGTGTGTGTTATTGCTTTAGTTAGATCTGTAGCTAGTATAACAAAAACTGTTCAAAAAGGTAAGTTTTCTAATAATTAATTTGTTTATTTACAGACTAAACATGACTTGGATAGAATAAAGCAAATTAAATTTTTCTCTAGGTTTAGATACATTTAGAAATAGTTGTATTCTTTCCTAAATAAGCACGATATTTTAATTTTGATAATTATTTTCATTTTGAAGAAAATTAGTTTAGAAGCAGTTTAAGAAATATACGGTGTAATGATAAATAATTAGATAATAGATGAAATTGGATGGAAACCTTTCTTCAAATACTAATCAAAAGAAATTTTTACATGATTTATTAAAACCATTTTGCAGTTCAAACTGCATAGATAACTTTAGTTAGTAGATGAAACAATAAAAGTTTCGATTATTTGCATTTTGTCAATGATAGAGATCAATTTTAGTACATTGCAAACTTACTCGTATTCTTTGCTTTTCGTATGGAGTGTGTTTCTACCTTTTGTGTCATTGATAAAAAATGTGTTGATTCTTATTGTCTTTCTGTTTTAAAATATTTTATTCAAAGCAACATAAAATGGATTGAACAACAGGCATGAATGTCTATAATTGCTCTCCACAGGTCTAGATACATGTAATGAGTACCATTTAAGGAGTTTGTAAAATAAATCCTTAAGAGAGAGAGAGAGAGAGAGAGAGAGAGAGAGAGAGAGAAAGAGAGAATACAGGAAAAAGAAAGAAGAGGGCTGACCGGAAATTACGGAGACATTTATCTTCATTCCATAAAAGATAGAGATAAATTCATGAAAATTCATCAACATTTTCTTCTTTCTAATGAACGTCTTTCGTTGAAAATTTGCATATACTTTTGACAAAATCTAAGAATTAATAAAAAGCAAGACATATTTTACAAATATTTTTCTTCTTTTCAATGGTATATTAATGTGTCAATGGTAGGGATACCCGGCGCAGTCACGAAATCAATCAAACTCACGGTGGACCAATAGTAAGACCAAAAATAATTCAATTTCATTTTGACTTCATTTTGCGCAAGTTTGTTAGAATTTCCATCAGATATACGGAAATCAAAAACAAACATTTAAGCGCGGTATAGAAACCTAATAACGACGACAAAAAAGATTTCGATGTCAACGCGGCGCAGCGAGAATACCTAAAATTTTGTGTATCTTTTCCAGACTTTATGACTACTAAAACAATAACAATGAGAAAAAACATGTCTAGGGTTTTTTTTTTATTGGTATATATTTTTTCTTACAAGTAATTAAGCCAGAGTAAAAACAAACGCTCCAAACTACCATTGATTATCAAATAACGTTGACCCGCGTTGCATAAATCGGAACTGCAAGATGCTAAGCCAACCTGTATATGACATTGCAAATACATTTATGTATGTCTACTTTTAAAAATACTGAAATCAGACTAAAACTAAGGAGGAGTAGCGTTCGGAAAGAATTTCACAGAAATTTTCTCTCTCTCTCTCTCTTTTTACCTTTGTTTGTTTGCTTCATTGTTTTTGTATTGTTTTGTTTTTAACAATAAGGGTATCATGGTGTTTATTTTTTACACTAAGGGTAGCACATGTAAAAATGAAAACATTGAGGGTAACTTTCTCTTTAAGGATTGCAAGAATAGGTGGACTTTAGACAAAAATTCAGCCTGACTCTATTTTTGGCTGAAATAAATATTGATTTTTTTTTTTTTTTAAAAGGAAATTAAAATAAAAAAAATTAAAAAGCAGTTAAATTTTTCCTTCGGCAATGGAAATCTGATATCACAATTTATGAGAATAGAGCAGAACAAAAAAAAATCCTGAAGTTTTTTTCCCCAAATTTAATCAATCATCCCTAATGAACGTGTACTTTACCGCTCATTTCTGTCGATTTTGGACTTTAATAGTCGCTACTATACGTAAGGCATATATATTTAAGCATTGATAGTTACAGTTACAAGTCCCTTATATCAGGCCTACCATTTGTTTAAACTGTCAATACTGTTAATGGCTTTCCCAAAATGCGTTTCCGATATTTGCTATGTCTTACTTTTAGTACCACTGTAGCCAAACTACATATGTACATGTACTACGCATCATGTTTTTAGTCATTCTATTACATTATTTTAGGCTGTGATCATGAGAAATAAAAAAAAGCGTCAGTTTTCAAATTATGTTTGATAGATTGATGCTTGAAAAAACATTATTGATGAGAGGTTTTTAAATGCATATAGTATAAGAATCGAAGCTTTGGTACGAGTTCGTGCATACAACATACAAAGTGTTTTTGCTGCATATTGATTTTTCTAATATGTATTTA